TTTTTAAAAGCAATTTGAAAACCACTTTTTGGCGTCAACAATTTAGTGAAAAAATAATAATTTTGTTTTACAGAAAAATATTTTTTCTCAAACTTCTTTTTCATTTTTCTCATTCGCACACACTTAGCAATGCTTTAAAATGGCTGATTATCTTAAAGTATTTGTAAAAAATAATTTTTGTCATCACAAAAGTTTAAATTTAATAATTACTTATACTTTTTATGGGTAATCATCATTAATTAATTTAGCAGAAATGGTGTGCTTTGAATATGCTTTTCTATATAATACTATAAGTAATTATTGACAATATTAATTTAATAGATTCCTTCAGTATTGATGATGATTCTAATCATTGTAAAAATAATGATAATATTATGGATTCGAATACTTATACTTTTATGAGTGAGTTAATTAATTTAGCAGAAAAGGTGTGCTTTAAATATGCTTTTTTATCTAATACTTAATTTAATATTCAGTTTGAACTTATTTTTAATATTATATTAGTATTTCATTTGATAAAAAATTCAATTCATTTAGCATTAATTCTGTCAGAAAGCAAATTTTTTTGATGAAAAGTTATTGCTGAAGTAAAAATAAATGTGTGATTATTGTTTTATGTTTGAATTTTAATTTCAGATACTGAATACTTATCATCTCAATCAGCAGTATCAAAAGCAAGAATTGGCATATAGTACTGAGTATGAATCTCTGAATTCTGAATTCGCTCCTTCTCTACCACTAGATGATTCAGCACATAAATTAACTTTACATCCAAGTACAAATATAGAAGATTCCTTCAGTATTGATGATGATTCTAATCATTGTAAAAATAATGACAATATTATGGATTCAAATATCAGAACAACTTCTGATGCTACTACACAATTGATTATACAAAGGTTTGCTAACTTATTCCTGCTACTTAATTTCAAATTAAGTGAGAATAATTTAAAATTCAGACTTTTAAATCTGTTTGACTTGTTTTTTATGTATACTTTTGAATAATTAATTGATTACTTATTTTTTCCCATTTTAGGTATAAAATTAAGTCAGGTCATTATCCATCGCCAGGTATAAGTAAGCGGCATCTAACTACTGGAGCGCTGTCTATGGAGCATAATTCACATCCTGGAACATCTATTGATTCATCAACTGGAATTGCAGAAGGATCAAGATTGACAACACGGATTGGTAAAATATAATTTAGAGTTATTTATTTTGTGATAAAAAAGAAGTTCGAGTAATTAAAATTATTATTTTTACTAAAAACAAAATTTACTAAACGAATTCTTATTTCTTAGAATAATCATTAATAAAAGATCAAAGTCAGCTTTCTGAATTGTACTTAAAATTTTCGAAGCGTTATTATTTTCAATTTTACTTATTTATAAATTTACTTTCTATGATACTTTTTTTGATACTAAAAAGCAAATACAAAAAAGCATTCAAAATTAATTTTTTGCATCCGACAGAAATTAATACGTTCATAATGTTCGTTTCATGGTTAGGAAATTTTGGTACGATGAAAAAATTATCTCGGACAATTCATCAGGATTAATGAAATTTTTAAATTTCAAAATATTTACCGGTTTTCAATTTTAGTTCAAATTAAATAATTGATCTGTTGATTTTAGGTGATCACAGTTGTAATATATCAACGCCTAAAACTATCCGTAAATGGAAAAAGTTAAAAGCAAGCAAACAAATCTCACAAATCCCAAACTTATCTACTATTCGTTCAGATCAAATAAATCCTCCTCAGCAATCATCTGCTTTAGGCCAGAAAATTGTTGATTATCCAACAAGTGGTGATGGCGATGTGAGTTCTGTGTTATACTTCACAATGCGAGTTTAATGAATTCTGAAAAGATTTTTGAAAAAAATAATAATAAAAAAAGTTAAAATTACTGAAAATTTACTTTACAATAAACATTTTTGATAATTAAATACTTGTTAAATCTTTGTACTGTCATAAACTGCTCAGCCTTACAGTACCTTTAATCTATTTCGTTTCTTTCCCTGAAAAAAGTATTTATTTCTCCAAGACGTAAAAGATATGATAAATAACAACGATTAAATTGTTATTACTTTTTATGATAATGATTGTTTCGGCACTAACATTTGCATTTATATTTAGAAGCACTTTTATTAGATTCAATATAATTTTTAATTGCTATGCAATTTGAAATGCAAAATAAAAATAAACAAAATGATTTTTATTTTCAATTTGTCTCTATTTTAGTTGTGCTCAAGTGATAAAATTTACTCTATAATACACTCTTTTAATAATTATAATAATAATAATTGTTATTATTATTATTGTTATTATTTATTATTATTATTATTATTACTATTATTATTATTATTATTATTATTA